CACAAAATAGCTGATTTCAAATTGGTGATTTCTTCTTCAATATTAACTTTCAAGTCTACCTATGACATTACTTTTGCTCCACCTAGTAATACACAAGACATGCCTCATTTAGTACCTACAATGGTTTCAAGGTCTAAATTCTCTTCTCCGAAAAAAGTGAAGAAAATGAAAATCTGACCAAACTTTAAGTTCCTTCATATAAGCAGAAAAATGTTATTCTTTGAAGAGGTTGTTTAAAAAAATTCCATCAAGTCAAACAGAATAGAGGCGAAGTTGTTGCGTCACCCTTCTGAATTCTGGATTCGCGGGAAGGCAGGCTGCACCGCCCGCAGCACTTTGACCTTCTTCGGAGATCCCTTCTACTTACTTCCCTCTTTTGCTCAGCATTAAGGTCCTTAAAGCCATATTACCTTGGAGGCAAAGGCTAGAATTTGTCCTGGTTGTGCTGCCCTGATTCCACTCATGCGAATCTGGATATCTCCAAAAATGGATAACCTTAATGTTTGGAGGGCCACGCAGTCGCATAGAATGTGTTCCGCCGATTCCTCCTCCTCACCGCATCCTCTGCAGATATCGGTGTTACTTATTCCCATGTTCAGTAAGTGCTTCTGTAAATGCCAGTGTGAAATGATTAGACCTATGACCAAACGTAGATTCTTCCTGGACAGCCTCATAAATAAATCTGTTCGTTTAGGGTCAGGGTACATCAGAGCCTCTTTGGCTTCGCGACATCCTGGTGTCCTGTCCCAGTAAGTTAGAAACTGCTTACGTGTTTCCTCTTTTCGAAGCTCTATTAAAGACCTTATTGTTGGGGCGATGAATGGTTCTGGCGATCTCGGAGGTTCGCCTGCAGATTTCCTTGCCAGATTGTCCTCCATGTCATAAAGCTTATTTCCCGAATGACCCTTTGTCCAGCAGATCGTAATCTCATTGCTAGCGGCTGCCTCACAAAGATTGTTATGGCAGTCCTCAAGCAACGAGGATGAACAGCGATACCGCCCGAGCGAAAGGAGGGCTTGTTTGCAATCACAGTATATTATAATTTTTTTGTTACTAATTTTGTTAGAAATTTCCTCAGCCGCCAGAGAAATGGCCACCAGCTCCGCTTGGAGCGCGGTGGGCCAAATTTCCAGCGGTTTAGAAACTTTTATTGTTGGTTCGACGGAATAAACCGAAGCACCAGAGCCAGTTTCCCTACGAGATCCATCCACCCATAATTGGAGGATAGTTTCGTCAGGCATGGATTGTTCTCCTACTTTTATTTCATATATATTTTTTATATATATTAAATTCGGTCTTTCATTAAAAAACGAAGATTTGATTATGTGAAAGTTTTGTTCCCTGTCCAAAGTCATTCCTACATGGAATGCGACAAGAAAATGAGTTTCATCAACAAAAAGCCAATATTGAATTTGCTAAGGACCATTTCGAGGTGTTTGTGATCATCAGACTTTATTCAAATCTTGAACGTTTGAAACTTTTTATATGTTTAAACGCCATTCTCTAACTAGAGTTGTGCAGCATATTAAAATTCTACACGATGAAGATAAATTCCTACTTTCATACCTCCATCAAGAGGTAAGAACAACAATATGACATCAACTTACATATTCCTAAGACTTTCCCCTTCCGATCAATATTGCAGAGTACAACGACTTTGGCAATGTTTCTAATCAATTCGCAAGTTTAATAATTGATTAATTCTGTTCCTACACACTGAGCGAATGCGATAATTCCGAAACATTACATATCTTAGTCCTTTAGTGCCTAACTTTAGCGTATTCTAATAATTCCACTACAAAATAGTGACCTAATAAGATACAATATATTTTTTGACGTTGCTCCAGTGTTTACTACTGGAGTACTGGAGCAACGTCAAAAGTAACGTCAAAAATAGTAAATATTATCTTGTAATCTATGTTTATAGAATCAGTCAAATTAATACTTCTAAATACGTTATCAAATTAAGTGTTTTTTTTCTATCTTTTGTAACTCCGGTTGTATTTTTAGCAACGTGGGTTGCAATATTCTGAAGTGCTAAATAAGTTTCGAATGTTATCATTTTATTGGTGTATTTGAGTTGTAGTGTTGGTAAATTTAGCATTGCTTGGATAAAACTTCCAGAATTTATCAGCTAAATACAACATTATTGTAAATAAATACATCCATATGTTGTAATTGCATCTATTTGTTCCAGTGTCGGTTTTGGAGATTATCTGTCATATTTTGCTCTTTGGTACACATTTCAGGCACTAATAAACTACGCTACTTATTGATCGAGGTTATTGATGTAGTTTTGTTTTATATAAGCAACCGTTTAACTGATTCCGCAATGATTTTTCATTTTATATATTCATTATTTTTTCAGTTATAATTTCAAATTGTGTATCTAGGTAGTCGTTTTGTATGGCAAGTACTCGTTTCATACAACCTGAAAATTTTATTTCTCCTTCTTTAAATGAATGAACTTCTTTTTGCGACTCACATGACTATACAGCTCCAGATAGTTCTAAAATGTCGTTGGAATTTAAGCTACAATTATCCTCATTATTATCTTTATCGCTGTCTTCGTCATGATTCATTAGTACATAAATTATCTTCCGAGTGATTGATTTGTACACGACAAAGGTACCTACATCAGAATTCCATTTACCTCTCGTCCCAGTTATATTCCTCTACATAGATTCTCCATCTGTGAACCTAATAATATTGCAGCATATGCGAGACACGCCACGATCTTACCGGCACACCACGTGCGAAGAAGTACAAATACCGCGCAGCAGCTCGCAATGTTTAGACACACCCTAAGGTTCCAAATTCAAATTATCTAAAATATCTTTTTGTTCATAACAACTATTTACATAGATGTTCATCCCCTAGATTTACTTACGTTTTGTATCCATCAAACCCCGTGCGGTGTATTTCTTTCTTATAATCTATAAAATATAATTTCTTTCCTGTGCAATGGAGAATAAAATAGTTCATTAAAAAATGATAAATTCATACAATATATAACCAAATCATCACCTTTCTATTTTTTGCTTTAATATTTTTTCCACAATTCTCTACACATAAAGGTGGTTTAATTTCGGTGGTCCTCTAATTTGATATAAATGCATGTCACACTGTGCGCAAAACTAAGCTCGGTTGATTGACATCACTATGCAAATTTGCTGGCGGCAACTTTTTGTGGGATTTGGTGGACAACAAAAGCATACAAATGCTCGGACGTTTATGGATCCCCGGACGACGGCGCATATTCAACGCTCATCGTTCGTAGATAAACTTTTTTGACCGTTGGACAATATCAAGGTAAGCCATGTTTTTTCAACCACATCCAAATTCTGTCTGAAATTAATGTGCTCATTGAGCTGAATTATCTAGCCTAGTTCTCTAAACCTTGCTCACGGCATTTATATCCACAGTGCAATTAACCAGAACGACAGGTAGATACACTGGTAGATAATGATAGCATGTTTATTAGAGACCTAAAGCTATTTATCAATCTATTCGAAAGCATTCTAATTAGTTTCACATTTCCTGTTTAAACGTATCTGGAAACTACTTTAAAATAATTGTGGAATTATAAAAATCGAGTAATTTTTGATGTACCTATCTGGCGTAATTGAGCACAATTATAATTAGATTAGGCGGTGTAATTATAGCGCATTACATCAATATCTCCGTATCATTAGATAGCGTTCTAAATCGATTTAGGACGTTCTAATAACGTCTTCATAATGTACACCAATAAACATGTAAATTATTAGACATATTGGAATATAATTTAGTGTATTGCTAATTGGATGATTAACTAAAATACATGTATAATAATGTGATATAAAATCTGGGTCAAAAATTATTCTACAAATATGAAGCTTGAAATGTTCAAAAATATTAACATGTAATATCCATTATAAGATCAAACAACTATTTAATTATACGGTTTAATTATGATGTATTAATATAATTTGCATTAATTTATATTTTAATAATAAAGAGCAAACATGTAATTTATGACGTCTATTAATTCTGCGCGGTGTACGAAGTGCATTTATTATTAATTTTGATTGATTTACTGGATTTTTAAGCACAATTTCAAAAACATTTTGCCGCAACAGCCTGTTTGCGCCGTCCATATTAAATAATTGGATTAAAATTTATGTGTAATTTAACCGTAATAAACCGGATGATATTTTTAGACACCTTGTTCGATTGATTTTCCGTAATGTATTATTCCAATATAAATTTTCGATTCATATGAAAATAAATGTGGGTATCTATTTAATTAACTATCAGATTAACAGGTACATATTTGAATCAATTTGTGTCAATAAATTATTTTAATATGCATCATTTTTCTTGATAAATTTTAATGATATTGTTATTTAAATTAAATTACAGTAAAACTTCGATATAACGGATCTCGTTAGACTGAACAATATATTATTAAGTCATATTATTAATATTATCTATTTAATACATCAGTATATTTTTAAATAATTGTTAGCGCTCATAGATAGACTCCAACTTGGCTTATTCTCCATGTTCATAGATTAACGCGGGGTATTCCCCGAGTTGTCTATACGATTTATCAATCAAGGACGTTACGTAGTTGTAATTGTTATTCAACACTGACGTCACGAACGGGCCTTCGAGATGTGCACGAATGTTTCTAGTTCTAGTGTTAGCGCTAGTTTTAGTTGTTAAGTATTTGCTAATTCAAAGTATGAAAGAGTGGTTGCCTACCCATGCGTGACGTCACAAACGGGCCGTCAAGGGATGCAATCCTTTTAGATTCTCCCGTTCTAGGTATAAAAATAAAGCCACGTAGACTGAACGCAACGGTGGGGAAAGCTGTCCGAATTTGTGCGCATTAAAATTATTCATATAATAGACTTGTGGCTATTAAGAACACTCCCTTCTCCGTATTAATCCGTTACATCGCGATTTTACTGTATTTAATTTTAGTTATAAAGGACATTATTGATAAAAATATATTTGCTTAATAGAATATTTATTATTTATGAACAAATAAAAAAAGGCAACAAAATAAGTTTACGTAATCTTCTTAGATTCTCTTATGATATTCTTTGTTTCTTCATATAACTACGAAACTTTGCCATAAATTTCAAAAAATGTCCATAATGAACTCTAGAATATTCTGACGATTCCATAGCATTTTGAATACTTTTGAGTTCAGTCAAAAACTTATTAGGGAAATTATACCTTTTACAAGTATCTATAACGTACTTTCTTTTATTTTCAAAGTATATTCGATTTTTGAACGGAATTTTTCGCCGTTTTTGATTTGATGACTCAACACTTGGTGAAATGTAATGGTCGTATTTAGAACAAATATGTTTGAATGGCATAATCGATTTCCTGGGTTCAAATAAATACGAATAAGAATGCTGTATGTTATAAATATCATTTAATGGCATTTTATAATTTAATTTGGACTGAAGGCGATTAATCCATACGTTAATATTTTTAACGTGATTTGAACCTTGTCCCACATTTAGTTTACCAAAAAGTAAGAGTTGTATAGTTGTTTGCATATTATCTCTTAGTTTTGCTGTTTCTTGATTATAACCAGCTTTTCTACTATCATCAGATAATTTGCAAAGCCTCTTGCATAATGTCCAGCAATTGCCTTCAGCTTTATCCAAAGTTTCCTTATGCTTTATCAAAAAGTCCAACATTTGTTTGGATTGCTGAGGTAACTCATGTATTGAGGGCATATCGCCTAAATACCGTAATATTTCTTCACGCACATTTTTAACGTCAATTTCCAGTGAACTTTTCAAAAAAATCTCACCACCTGGTGAATCATCATATTTATCAACTATTAGTTGCAGTCCTCGTCTTCGTCTTAAACTATTAATAAAACACAATCCTTGATCTGTATTCATATAAGCAAATTGTAAATAGTTTAGTTTTAACGTTTCATCATATCCTGTTAAATTTCTTTGGTATTTTATGACAGGTACTTTATAAGGTGAATTATATATTTCAACGTTGTCATCATTCATTTTTAAAAGATCATCAATGAAATTATTCGCACCATTTTCTTGTGGAATTGGTTTACTTTCCAAACTAATGTACTCTTGTAAAGAAACTGGCTTTTTGAATAAAACTTCATCGGAATCAACTCCATTTCTAGACTCAACTCTACATCCGGTTGATGTGTTTTCTCCGCCTAAGTACTTCCCTTTCAAATAATTTATTTGTTTCAAAAAGTAATTAGGGATGAATTTGGTTGGAGGAAAATCAACATTAAAATACATATTTTGTTCGTTTTTCTTTTGATTTTTGAGTTTTTCCTCGATAATTTTATCAGGACTTCCAGTTTGAGCATCATGAAAACTACACTCTTCAGGTGCAACCTTATTGGCCTCGTTAGAATTAATATTTTCTGATTCTAATTCGTCTTCTTTATGGTAGATAAACGGTTGATCTTTTGGAAAATTGTATAAATCAACATAAAATTGAATTTGAGGGTTTGTAACTGGATGTGTTCGATTACCACGGCGACATTTATTTTCTAAATGACCCGATTTTGAGCATAACGCACACCAACGATCTCTTTCATCTTTAAAAGTTTCCTCGCGTGGTTTTACAATTGGTCCCGGTTTGGTCTATGATCAGTAAAATTCAATATTACAAAAATTTTATAGTTACATTAACCTATTAGGGCATAGCATCCTTAGACATTTGTATTTGATGTGGTTAATGAGAATCTATGCACTAATGGGTTTAAAAATATTTATAATAGCTTAACTCTTTAATGCACCAATTTTGTTGGTAAGAAATAAATTATGCTTTACAATCTCTTTTTCACGCAAAACAGACATTGTCATATTCGGAGTGCATCAAAGAGTTAATTGGATTAACTTACAGTTAAATGATATCTTCGCCACAAATCTGGACAAACTGAATCAATGTGTCCATACAATTTACAAAGATGGCATTGGACTTTCTGCCAATGAGCACATCTACTACAATAAGTTGTATGTCCGCCAAGATTTCCACACTGCGCAAATAACAAAAAAATTATTGATGACTTTATGATAATGAAAATACTCATAATTGAGTCAAAAGTAAATTAAGTCAAAACTAAAATTAAAGGATATAAAAAAATTCAATTACCTATAACTAATAAATTCATTATTAATAAATTAACTGTTTCAAAGCATACTTAGTTACTGTTTAAGTAAAGAAATTTTAGTTTTGACTTATTTGTAATTTTAAAAATGTATTTTTTTATATATATATTTAAAAAATAAGAATACTTACAGATGTACACATTGCCAAGGGACACCGTGGATCTTGATGGCCTCTCTCCCCACAAAGAATACAAGGACGCGGACCTTGTTTGTTTGTACAATGAAGAGCCATGTGACCAACCTCTCGACATCGGTGACATCTAGGGCCCCTTGGAGTTTCATAACGAAAATGTAAACGATCAATATCCAAAATTTTCCAATCATCCGGATTATCTATCCATGGAATAGACATTTAAATATAATTACGATTTATTAATTAAATGTAATAACTTTTTAAATTTTGTGTTGATTTAAATCTAATCAAAGATCCAAAAACAAAAAGGAAATTTACTAACTGTACAGGTGTATTAATAATTAAATAAATTATTTAATTTTAATACCTGACATTGTTTGTTGAACTTTTTCCACAGAAAAATTTAAATAATCAATCTTTTCTTCACCACCTCTATTCACTGAATTAGAAGCCTCAGGTTGTTGCGATATTTTTTTTTCTTTAATTCCTTTGTCTTCACCTCTCCTCTTTGTTTCCTCCTGACAATTTCCCAATTTTAGATCGGATGTGATATTATTGAAATCATCACAACTAAAATATGACTCAGTATCATCATCATCACTATTTTGTGCATTTGGTTCATTACAAAACGTTTCATCAATGATTATAAAATTGGGATTACTTTCTATATCAATATCAGAAATAACAGTATCATTATTTTTATCTTTATCTTCAATAGTTGTATCATTTTGATTTTGTGTCTTTCGTTTTTTACTTGTAGATGTATCCAAACTTTCAGATTTTCGCTTCTTTGTTTCAATTAATGTTTGATCTAATTGAGAAGTACTAGGGATTTCTTCTGTAACTAATTTTGTTATGGAAAGAGAAGAATCTCCCAACGTTTTATCTGGTTCAACTACATCTAAATCATTATCTCTATTAACAGAAGAAAGTTGAGGTAATTGTTTCGAATTTAAACAACTAACTTTATTTTCTTCATAATCACTTTCTGAGCTTGAATCATCCGAACTTGAATTCGTCGCAGCTACGGTATGTCGTTGACTAGCTAGCGTACAAACTTGTTCAAAACTATCTTTTTCAACGCGATTCGAGTTATCCCTACTCGGTGTTATATAATTACCAAACGATTCGAGATTTGTATCATCAAAAAATCGTTTCGTTGGCGTTTCAAAATCAACGGTATTGAAATGATTAGTTTTGGGGAGAGTAGCATCACTCGTTGTGCTATCAGTTTCAGACATATCAATAACATTTTTTGAAGAATTATTAGTGTTTCTAAAATCACTTCCGTGTAGACTAAAATTAAATTTCGAATTATTCACGTCAACGGAATTATCGAGAAAATCATTCGAAGCCGAATCAGGTGTTCTTAATTCCCGTCTTAATCGCAATTGAGGAATGTTTGGTATTTTTATATCCGAATTTGTTGAAGCTGTTTCGCTATGTTTTTCATCGTCTTTAAGACTGGCACTAACGGAATCACAATCTATTTCAATTACTTCTATATGTTTCGATTCGGGTTCGATGAAAATTACATCATCGTCGGTTTTACTTGTGTTTAAACTATCGGAACTGCCTGGTTCTGTTTTAATACTATTTAAAGTGGGATCAGGTGTCGATGTATCAAGAGGTCGGGTTTCTTCTTGTTTTACATCGTCATCCGAACTTAACTCCACTACTTCTCTTTTTTCTAATATTTCCTCACAATCGCTATTATTATCACTTTCAGATAATACAATAACTGAATTGTTTCGGGAATCCCTCGATAACGGTTTTACCGTTAAAGAATGTTCAATGAAAACTTTGTTATTATCTGTTGTTTTAGACTCTACTTCGTTTTTTTCTTGTTGAATGAGAGCTTTTAAGGCAAGCGCTTCTTCTTTCATTTGTTGCCTCCTCAACATCTTCTTTTGTTTATACCTTATGGAAAAATTCAAGAATGTGAAATAATAATAATAATATAATACCGAAAAATCACATTAAAATTTCGATGTGACGTCACAAGCAATGTTAACCATGTATTTTCCTATTAAATTAAGGTCAACACTAACCTACAAATTGTTTATTTTATAGCCACGCACAAAATCAATCTGATAAACGTAAAAGTAAAGTTATTTTCACTAAACTAGGTGAGATTACAACGTATATTTACGGATGAAACACCCTTGTTTTTCTTAGGCTTTCGATGACTGCATAACGAGTGACTACCTGTCGTTAGATAGACTGTGTGTCAATAGACTGTATTTTAATACGAGAACTAACACTAGACCGAAAACTAGAAACATTCGGATTTAGCCCCACGTCTCTCAAGACGGCTAAACCCGAATGATTCTAGGTCTAGGTCTTGTGTTAATTCTAGTGATAGTGTAAAATAGAACTAATACTAGATCTAAAACTAGAAAGTATCTGGTTTAGCCGTGCATCTGAAGACGAAAGATAGTTTTTCCAAAAAAAAAACAATTAATATTTTTCACACAATAATGTTAAGTCAAAAGGAAGATTTCGTCAAAATCTAAATTAAATAGAAACCCAACGAGTCCAGAGTATTATTGCTTATTATCTCCGTAAAACATTGCGGAAAATGTTGAGAGATTAGCATAAACTTCTACAAATTCTGCAAGTTGGTTGAAAAAGATGCAGCACATATTAGGTAACTGATTCCAGAAAGTTCAGAATCAGTTGTAAGTATTTAGACAACGTTGAGGTTGACCTTTATTTTATTCTCATACTTACAATAGATTCTGGTGATATTCAAAGCTGCGTTTTGAAACCTTCCAAACATATTCAATTTGCATTATTACATATTTTGGCAAATACTAAAACTTGCAGACTCAGTTTTGAGTGTTGACACAAAATTATGCAGGTTGGTAGGAAAAGATGCAGTACATTTTAGGATGTGGTGACTGTTTCCAGAAAATTTAAAATCAATTCTAAGTGCTTAGACAACGTTGAGGTTGGTGTTATTGAAAGCTACGTTTTGAAACAAATTTAGCTTATGATTGGATCGGCTTTCTTTTCAGACATTTTCAAACTCCAAACCCGTTCCATTTGCATTATTACATCTTTTGGCAAACACCAAAACTTACCAGAGTCAATTATAAACGTTTACATAAAATTGATTATGGAAAATATCTTTCCAAGAGAAAAAAAATCTGTTGTAGTTCAATAATATTATATACATTTTATTATCTAACGCTAAATATATTTAAAACTAGAACACTAGACCTAGAAACATTTGGATTTACACGAACGTCTCTCAAGACGGTTAAGCCCAAATGATTCTAGTTCTAGGTCTTGTGTTAGTTCTAGTAATAGTGCTAGCGTAAAACTAGAACTAACACTAGACCTAGAACGAGAAACATCCGGTTTAGCCACACGTCTCTCAAGACGGCTAAACCCGAATGATTCTAGCTCTAGGTATTGTGTTAATTCTAGTGATAGTGTAAAACTAGAACTAACACTAGACCTAGAACTAGAAAGTATCGGGTTTAGCCGCATGCCTCTCAAGACGGCTAAACCCGAATAATTCTAGTGCTAGATCTTGTGTCAGTTCTAGTGTAAAACTAGACCTAGAACTAGAAACATTCGGATTTAGCCGCACGTCTCTCAAGACGGCTAAATCCAAATGATTCTAGTTCTAGGTCTTGTGTTAGTGTAAAACTAGAACTAACACTAGACCTAGTGTCACACTAGATCTAGAACCAGAATTATTCTGGTTTAGCCGTCTTGAGAGAAGTGGGGCTAAATCCGAATGTTTCTAGTTTTTGGACTAGTGTTAGTTCTAGTAATAGTGCTAGCGTAAAAGTAGAACTAACACTAGACCTAGAATTGCTCCATGCCTAACCCGACATTTGAGAAATTCGCATTGGTGCAAACGTTAATTAACCTAACTCAAAGTGGAATTTCCACACAAAATTCTGAAATAAATCAGTAAATTATTGGATCAGAATGTAACATTTAAAGAGGGGGTAGGGCATCAAGTATAGATTTTAGGTTATCTTTAGTTTGTACGACATTTTAGTCGTTGTTCGTCGAAACCCTAAGAAATAACCGTATTTCACCCAAAAATATGCGTTTTAACCAAATGTGCTGCGAAAATACAGGGGGTGGTTCAGTTTTTAATCGGGAAACTTTACTAGGATGTAGTACTTGCCAAAATAACACAAGTTTTTTATATAAACATAGGGTCGAAAGACTTTTGTTTTCAAGCTATGAGCTGTCAAAGTTGAGCCAAAACTTTACATTTTCTCTTTTATTTTGGGTATAAGTAAAGTGTAGAATTTGAAATTTTGTATGTATGTACTACTGGTTAACACCATACTTTAAACTTCCCTTGCGCCCTTCTAAGGGGATGAAATTCACAACCCCTTTGATTTTTTTATAACAACTTTTTAATGTCATGGAATATTAACATAAAAAAATATGAGTTGTAAAACTTATTCATTATTGGTACTTTTTTGCCTTTTAAGTTTTTTCCATAAAGACAATAGTTTTAGCATAAAAAAATAGTAAAGATTCCTGATTAAAAACTAAACCACCTGTATATGGTTATGACGTCACAAAAAGTGAGGTTAAGTAGAAACTTTAAAGTGATTTTTTTGGTAAATTTTACACTTTTCCGCACTTTTTTTTTATTTATAACCGTTTAATTGAGTAATTTCGCGTGGATTAAAAAAAATTATCGATTTTTAAGCGACATAATGATGCTTATATTATACCTACCTTTTTCTTTTTTCAAGATTTTTTTGTTTCTTAGCTTCAACTTTTTCTTGTCTCTTCAAATATTTTTCAAAATTTTTGTTTGGAAATACATTTGGAGAGATAATTTGCGTAGGCACTATAGGTGGCACAATAATGAAATTATTATGAGGTTGAAACGGCGAAATCACCGGTGGTTCCATCATATCAATTCCTTTATAATAACGATTGTTGAAAATCGTTCGATGCGTATTTTCCTGAATATCCCTTATTTCTTGGTTTGTAGATAAAGGTATAAACTCGGGAGGTGCTGTCACAACAGGTTTTTTTATGGGGATTTGAAAATATCTTGAAGGTCGCTTAAATTCCGCAATAACATTTGTTGGAGTTTCTTGTTTTTGTGTTTGAGGATTGTTATTTTCCGCAGGGGAATGATAAACTTGACTGTAAAGTCTTGATTCTAAATCCTCCATATCTATATCTAACCCCTCCTTTAAAAACATTATATAATTTTTGATATTTCTTATAAAAATAATCACTTACCATCGCTGATATCTTATGTTACACTTAAATTACGATGTCATATAGTTTTTAATTAGATATGAATCTACACAGTTAAACACGTGCAAATATCATGTCATGTCAAAAAAATTACTTAATTTGCAATGGCAGATAGGGAAAAATAAAATATCCCCAGTATTATCGATAAAGTAGAAAATTACTACTTTTAGAAACAATTTTCATATTATTTAGATTCCGTAATTATTCTTATCACACTTAAATAAACCAATATAACACTTTGCCAAACATAAAATAATATCGAATTAAAATTTAATGTTAAAAATTAAACTATGTCGGTAAAGTAGAATATAAAGATTTTATAGGTTAAATTTTATAACTGTCACTGTCATTAAATCAGCAGTAACAAAAATATTTTTGTATTCTAGAATTAATTGTAATAAATGTTAATAAAATTTAAAAAAGAATTGTTTAATTTAAATAAAACTACATATCTTTCGTTTATAAATCAATATTACACTTAATCAAAACATACATATTCATTACAAACATAATAAAGGTTCAATACTACTGGCAATAATTATCGGCTGGTTGCTTTAGGTAGTGTTGTATTGGTTGCTGAAAGTTTTATCAAAAAATATACACGTATTCCTGGCGTCATCATTAAAATAGAATAACGGTACCGGCGTTGAAGAGTTTTAGCCGAATTATTCTGTTAAAAAATGATTCCCATACGATATACGCGTAACCTCTTTCTCAGAGCGATTTGTGTAGTTTATCTGTTCGCATTTGCATCTTTTTACATTCAAATACCAGGTAAGGCGTATAATCACTTTTTTTAGGTTTTCACCTCCTCATTTTCTAATTTCTTGTTCCACTTATTTTTTTATAATAGGTCTTTATGGTGATAATGGAGTATTACCAGCTAGAGCTGTTTTGGACAACAGCATGTACAAAACCTTCTCTGCAAGGGCTCATTATCAACCAACACTACTTTGGCTTGCACCATATCTTGGTTTAGATACCAATTATGCTTTGGATGTGTTAGCTTTGATGGGAATCTTCTTAGCTTTTACTGGGTGCGTAAAAAGTAGTTAAAAGAGGAATTATTTAGTTTGAATAAATCTTTTTAAATTAAAGGTTTATATCTCAGAAGATGTGTACTATTCCTTTATATGCTGCTTTGTGGTCTTTATATTTTTCATTATACCAAGTGGGACAAGTTTTTGTTACTTCACAATGGTAAGAACTCATTTTAGTAGTTTTAGATAATTTAAATCTTACTTTAATCATATTGTTATTAAATATATTATTAATTTTTTTTCAGGGATGATTTATTATTAGAAACAGGTTTTCTAACACTATTAGTAGCCCCTCTTTTGCCAGGAAAAAGGCGTGGATCCAAGGGGACACCTAAGGATAAAATAAGTTTATTCTTAATAAAATGGCTTTTATTTAGATTTTTGGTATCAAGTGGGTTAACAAAACTTCTTAGTGGTTGTCCAAAATGGTTTGATTTAACAGGTAATTGAGTAATTATTAATCAACTGAGTAATAATTAAACAATTCAGGATTTAAGTACTTTTTTAATCCTTAACTACACACTTTTATTTAAAGGAACTCAAGCACAAACAACCAGATATATTTGCCTATGTCTTTAAATATTAAAAATTGGACCAAAAAGATTTCAAATTATGATCAAATACTCTAAAAGGTAAAATTTTCTGGTTGTGTGTGATTGAAGGTTAATACTATTTCTTAATAAATATTTGTATTACATTAGGTCCCTCCCCGCAATATAACATATTACACCCAGAGTTAGAAGGTCAGGTGTTAATTTTAGAACATCATCTAGTATGTCTATTATTAAGTTGTGATCAAATCACATATCATCATGGCTACATATTTAGAAAGGTTTGTTCACAGAACCGACTACTGATTTGAAAAAAGCTTAAATGCGCATTCTTATTTATATATCCTTGAAGGACTATACTTTTAAGTTATAAAATGTAAAGTCTTTGAATTACCATAAACTAGAGCTGTATATTCCTGTAACTATTGGGCTGAGATCCCACCAAAGTCCAGAAATGTATTTATATAGCACATAAATTAACTTCAGTATATGTATCTAATTAATTTAAAGAAGGAAATAGCGTTTGCTAATTTACTTTAATTTCTTGCATTTTTTTATGGCAGTAATAAACTAATAATATCTATTACACACACGTTTTTGCAACACATTGTTCTTTTTCCACAAAAGCAGAAGATTTGATTGTTGCAATCCAGTACTTTTTGGTTTGTTGTTTGCAACTGAATCAATTTCTAATACTAAGCTTGCAAAATGAAAGATCCGCTTCTAACCCAGATAGAATCTAGACAGGTGATGACTCCCTACCAAATTATGGTGCAGCTGTGAGTTTGATAACGTCCAAATTAGGGATTGCAATCATGAAGGGTTTTTATAATCCGGGATTTTGAGATCAGAATTCTCTATCCCGGGTAATCCCAGGTTTTATGGGCTACATATGTAATAATAAATAAAATGTGCAAGGTGTTTCTAACAGTTTATTTTAACCATAACACAAAGCATTATAAAAAAATCTACCATCCATAGAACTATTTTTAAAGAAATGTCGCAGAACAAGCAATTTATTTATTGTTTTATCTCCTAAACGAGATCTAAAGTATGTGTTTAATAAACTTGCTGAAGGGAAGCACCGCTCTCCGATTCCACACTTGTTGGTGGAATAGTTTTCAAACATTCAAAAGCGAATTGAAGATTTTTATTCATGCCATTATTGAATATATCAATTTCTTGGATCAATGTATTGAAGATTGCATTCTTGATTAACTGGACAGGTGGCTGTTGTTTGTTTAAAGCAGTATAAAGTTTTTCTTTCAGTGTCTGATTCGTTTCCTATCGTTGAGGCTCCGCAATTAGTAAGTCATCTTCATCATTTTCAAACATATTTTGTTCATCTTTTGATGTTAAACGTAATATAAGTTTCTCTAATGTTTTGCTCTAATACACTTTGTTTTTTTTGGCTTTTTGTATAACACATCTATTATTATTGCCAGCTGTAAACCATGTGCTAAACAACTGATGCCTTGAGGGCGTTGATGTGCCTGATGTACCAGGTGCATTTAACCTCCTGAGTACCAGACACACTTTTTATAAGTTTATTTTTATGTTTCTAACGTACTATGAGTAGTACAGATGTACTCAGGAGGTTAAATTATTCTTTTCGTTGTTCTTTAATGTTTATTTTGTTACCCTTTGTTTTTAGAATAGATAACATATTTTGCATTTTGCCATTTCACCATGATCAGCACCAGTTAGATAGTAGTGCCATACCGAATATTTTATAAATTAATGACACAAACATAATCCTGAAAATCCCGAAACCATAATCGATTTCTCAGGATAATTTTCAAGATTTAAATATGAACGGGATCCCGAGATTTTCAGGATTAGTCCCATTTAATCCCATTTAAAATAACAATATTGGTTGCCATAGCAACGAAAGAGAAAACAATACTAAATAATAATATTTTTAATATTATAAAACATAATAATATTTGAAACATTTTTCTCTAAAACCGTAAATGGCGAAGTTATTGGCTATATTCCAGACATTTGACACACCCTGTATGTATAGTCTGTATATTTCAGTTTGAACATAGTATATCGATTTGANTTTCTAATACTAAGCTTGCAAAATGAAAGATCCGCTTCTAACCCAGATAGAATCTAGACAGGTGATGACTCCCTACCAAATTATGGTGCAGCTGTGAGTTTGATAACGTCCAAATTAGGGATTGCAATCATGAAGGGTTTTTATAATCCGGGATTTCGAGATCAGAATTCTCTATCCCGGGTAATTCCAGGTTTTATGGGCTACATATGTAATTATAAATAAAAAGTGTTCAAGGTGTTTCTAACGTTACAGTTTATTCTAACCATAATACAAAGCATTATAAAAAATCTACCATCCATAGAACTATTTGTAATGATATGTCGCAGAACAAGCAATTTATCTATTGTTTTATCTCCTAAACGAGATCTAAAGTTTGTGTTTAATAAACTTGCTGCAGAGAAGCACCGCTCTGCGATTCCACACTTGTTGGTGGAATAGTTTTCAATCATTCAAAAGCGAAGTTTATTGAAGAGTGCATTCTTAGTTAACTGGACAGGTGGCTGTTGTTTGTTTAAAGCAGTATAAAGGTTTTCTTTCGGTGTCTGATTGGTTTCCTGTCGTTGAGGCTCCGCGATTAGTAAGTCATCTTCATCATTTTCAAACATATTTTGTTCATCTTTTGATGTTAAACGTAATATAAGTTTCTGTAATGTTTTGCTCTAATATACTTAGTTGTTTTTTTGGTTTTTTGTATAACACATCTATTATTATTGCCAGCTGTAAACCATGTGCTAAACAATTGATGGCTTGAGGGCGTTGATGTGCCTCATGTACTAGGTGTATTTAAATTATTCTTTTCGTTGTTCTTTAATATTTATTTTGTTACCCTTTGTTTTTAGAATGGAAAACATATTTTGCATTTTGCCATTTCACCATGATCAGCACCAGTTAGATAGTAGTGCCATACCGAATATTTTATAAATTAATGACATAAACATAATCCCGAAACCATAATCGATTTCCCGGGATAATTTTCGAGATTTAAATATGAACGGGATCCCGAGATTTTCAGGATTGAAACTTGAAACCCCGCGATTGCAATCCCTAGTCCAAATGTTTCTATTCTTTCGAAATAGGAGAACATAGTGAAGCCAAATCACTTTTTTTATTATCATCAGCACATACATTCTTTTACAGTCGCTAGATAAACTAGTATATTTGTAATCAAAAGAAAGAAATAAAAGAAAACTATTTAATAAAGTACCGTAAACAATCAGATACTTTAATTAACATTTCAGTATTAGACATTCAATTGAACAACTGTTTGAGCGTGATTCAGGGTCCTGTATTATGTTATACCTAGTCTCATATACAGGGTGTCTCAAAAATCTGGAATATAGCCAATAACTTCGCCATTTGTGGTTTTAAAGAAAAATGTTTCAAATAAAAGTTCTTTATTAATTGTGGTGCATTTTTTGGCGATATTTGATGACATTGTTTTTTGTTTCGTTGCTATGGCAACCAACATTGTTATTTTAAATGGGATGCATATGTTTTTTTGCATATTTTGATAGAAACGCACTCAAAGTGAAGTTAGTACACTGTTCAATAATATTTACCTGGATAATCCACAGTATCCAAAATATTAAAAATTTCTTTAACACCGGAAATGTTAAAAACCTTCCAAAAAGTGGACGGCCGAAGACAGCTACCAATGACGAAACTACATTAAATGTGTGTCACCATACATTATTAATTATTCATAATTGTTGAAACTGTCATTTTTTGACATTTAAAGCTGTCAACGGCATTATTTCGGTGTCTACTTTGATTGTAAATTACTGACTTAATATTTTCAGACAACGCATTTTTCTCCATTTTTTTCTTATACAACCGTATGATTTAATATGTTCATCGTATAGAGGGACTTATCCTGTATCAAAGTATGCAAAAAAAATATATGCATCCCATTTAAAACAACAATATTGGTTGCCATAGCAACGAGACAAAAAACAATACAAATAAGCAAATACCGACAAAAAATGCGCCACGGTTAATAATGATACTTATATTTGAAAAATTTTTGTTTAAAACCATAAATGGCGAAGTTATTGGCTATATTCCAGACATTTGACACACCCTGTATGTATAGTCCCTGTATTTCGGATTGAACATAGTATATCGATTTGACACTGTTCACATAAAATAACAAAGTAATTCCACATTGTGTGTAGAATGTGCACCACATTGTCAAAAAAAAAAAACTCTTGTGCAATATATTGTCAGGCTGACTGAAACAATATCATCAATCGAATTTTTAAAATGATTGACTGATGTAGCTAAAGAAATAAACAATACTTTGTAATCTTCTAAGTTTTATAGACTTGTACTTGAAGTTTGGTGATGTTTATTCACACATCCTTCATGGACTCAGAAACTTTATCATATCGTAAAGTCCTTCAAATGGTGAGAGGGAAAGTCAGACAAAATGAGAGAATGCTCTCGAATAAAGTTGTTAACACACATCGTCTAACTAAAACATAGCAGCATGTTTAATCTGATTCAGTGAAAGAATATCACCAATATAACCGCTCTTGAATATAAAATGTATTTTTTTTTGTATTGGCTGTCTCAACAATCGCAGTAGTTTCATCAGTTTGATTAGCCTAACTTTAACCTCTAATTGTGCATTTTCATGTTGCTGAGTTCTGGCATAAATTTTCTGCTACTTTAGCTCCGACATCGAATCAAGATAATTATCAAGTTTTTTTCTTCGCCGACATTGACATTTCTTTAGATCAATCCTTGCCTTCTTCTTAATCATCCCAGAACTCCTTCAGTTATTGTTCATTCTTATCTTTGTTTCTGTAGTTTGTTAATATAGGTCTGACCTCTCACAACATGGTCTCTTTGAACTTCCTAATATCTTATAACATCCTCCTTTACGTGTTTTAATCTATTTTTGATCTCTCTCCACTTTTTGTTATCTAGAGTTAATATATTTTCAGCCATATTATACCTAACTACAATCAACTTCTTTCAACGGTTTTCAGAACTAACAAATGCGACTCAATATCTTTCTATATGTATATCATTTCTTCTATGTACTCTCAACAATCTCAACATCTCAATATCTTTTGTAGTCAACCTCGTCTCATTTCAAGATAAGGTCATTCCTCGCCTCTCTTACCATAATTTCTGAAATCTCTCAACAAACAGACTTGTGATTAATATAATATATTATGAATTGGAAAACTATTACTATTATGTTATTTTTTCAATTTTCTCCACATAGTTATCATATTTATTTATCATGTATTTTAATTACATCCATAAACATTTGCAACTACATGACTCATCGTCGTCCCGAACATCACTTACAATTAGTATTGTTTTTGGTCTACCAGAACATCATCCCCAACATTTCTTAACATAACCTTGCAAAAATTGAGCTAGATCCCCATCTTCAAGTATTAAGTACGATTAAAATTAATACAAAGATAAATTGAATAAGCCTTTAATCTTATTGCAAAATTATTAGTACATATATGAGGTGCTGTGTCTAAAAAATCAGCAGTTAAGCAATCAATCAGTAATCGTTCTGCGAATAATCCTAATAACAATCACTTTTTTTTCTTAAATTAATTAATAAACTGCTTCATCGCTTATTGTGGATATGAACTCACAATATGAAATCATTTAGATTCTAAATTATCGCATTTTAGACATTTTTGTTATATTGTGACTTACACATAGAGACAGTTGTGAGTCTTTATAGTAAAATTAACTTTTTATAATCACAATTAAAAACAATTAGCATAAAAGTATGTAAATATACCCTATCGTTATGAGAAAAATAAGCACCGTTTTTAGAACTGCACTACTAAAGATTGTTCAATTTATTTTTTTTATTTAAAAAAACTCACAAATAATTCATACATTTAATTTTAGCTATGAGTTATTATTTTGAAACAACTGTTTTACCAACACCTTTATCATGGTACGCTCACCATCTACCATTATGGATATTAAAATTGATGACAATTACCACTCATGTAGTCGAAATAGTGATACCGTTCTTATTTTTTGTACCTATAAGAAGTACAAGATTATCAGCGTTCGTTATTCAGGTAAATGTATCAATAAGAACAAATAGAAAGAATTAATTCACCGTGAATTTTTGATTCTTAGGTTCTGTTCCAAATAGGTGTCTATTTAACAGGAAACTTTAACTTTTTAAATATTTTAATAACGACGCTTCTTGTGTCACTTCTCGACGATCAATTCTTCTTTGCGAAACCTCTAAAAAGTAACAAAAGTAATGCAGTAATGAAACTGTTAGGCACTGTAATTAACATCTTGATTTTTGTCGCTTTAATTGGTGCCGTCATTGTACTCTTTAATTTGAAGATAAGCGGAAATGAAATTCAATCATCTGTTGGTAAATTAATAATGCATACATTAAATTCCAGTCATTTTAATCAACTTTAAATAGGTTTTACTAGAGATCAATTCTCGATGTTCGCCAAGTTATCAATTTTATATGGAATATACATAGCGTTAGCTACTTTGGGAATCACAATTGTGAATGCTTTTGGTTCTGCTATCGCCGATCATCATGGAATGGGGCAAAAGATTAGTTCGATACTTCAAACGGGATTTTACGCATCATTGGCTATTGTTTTGTTCATGGGATCAACTGTAAATTGCTTTAAAAATGTTCAAATTGTTTATTTAATTATTTATTTTAGTATCCTTTATCGACTCTTCATAGCTCTACAAATTCCACGGTTATGTCCAATGTCAAAGTTATTCATAATAGACTGAGTAAATTACATGTCGTAAATAATTATGGACTTTTTAAACAAATACCGAGTTTTGAGGGGCGAAAAGAAATCGTTCTCGAAGGTGCTGATCACATTGATGGCCCCTGGCACGAATATAACTTTTTATACAAACCTGGAAACGTTAATTATTCTTTGCCGTTTGTGGGTAGGTTTTTATTTCTTTCTTTTGCGTTTGGGTTTTAATTAATATGAATTTTAGCTCCTTATTCGCCAAGATTAGACTGGCAAATGTGGTGGACCACTCAATCATCTCCTGAAAAAGAGCCTTGGTTACTTTCACTGGTTCATCGTTTACTCTTAGGTAAACCGGAAGTGTTGAACCTTTTAGACAAAAATCATATGCCGTATGCGATATTTGGAAAACCACCCAAATTTATTAGAGGAGTGTTATATAGATATAAATACACACCATGGAATGAAAGGTAAATGAAAAATAAATAGTTTAATTTTCAATTGATTTTTTTTGATTGTTTTAGATGGGGTCAAAGTTGGTGGAAACGTGAAAAGATCGGTGAATATTTTCCAGCTCATGCTAAAGATTCAGCGTCTTTGTTAGATACGTTAAAAGCGAGAAACATGTTGCCAAATCCAATTAAACGAGAAGTCCATCCACTTTGGCAACAATCTCTTGATAGCATTAGATATGTAACAGGATACATGGAAGCTAGTTTATTGATGTGGTCTATCTTTACCGCTGGATGTGCTATTATCACCACTACAACTAGAAATAAATAAGTTTTGGTTATTCAACGAAAAATCTACTTGCAAGATTTGATGGATGTCTTAGTCCTTGTTGTATTTAAAATCAATCAGGATTAATAAAGACGTAAAAATAGAGTTTTCACTAGATGTTGTCCATTGCGATTTTCACCAATATAATTGATCTTATGAGATTACTCATTAATTAAGACTTTTTAAGATGTTTTGTATATTTTAAAATTTTGTGTTTTTCTTCAAACCATCTTATTTTTTCTATAATAAAAACTAGTTTTAATTTTTTTACAATTAATTTGGTTAATAAATTCATTAATAAAACATTTTGTAAATAAATTTTGAAATTTTCTTTAACAACCATTCAAATTTCCCGCGTTTAAAAAATTTCTACAATTTATAAATTTCACTAAAATAAAACAATTCTATAATTGTAATGGCAAAAATTAAATTTTCTATAATAAATACTAGTTTTAATTTTTTTACAATTAATTTGGTTAATAAATTCATTAATAAAACATTTTGTAAATAAATTTTGAAGTTTTCTTTAACAACCATTTAAATTTCCCGCGTTTCAAAAATGTCTACGAATTATAAATTTCACTAAAATAAAACAATTCATTAATTGTAATGGCAAAAATTAAATTTAATTAATTATTTATCTCAAAGGTATGAATAGAAATTATTTATTATAAATAAATAGACTAATATTATTTTAGAACGTACCCAAAAGATATGTCAACTGTCAAACTTTTTCTAAGCTGTCAAAAACAATAAAATATAAACAAAAAGAAAACTTGAAATTTTAACTATTATGACCGTACCAAACTCTCAAGAGAATGAGGCAAAAAAAGATTCTTCTTCTCCTGTACAACAACAACAACAGGAAGAAGCAGAAGAAGAAAAGAAATATTTACAATCATATATTCAAGAAGCTGAAGAACGACTTACATCCAAAGCTGAATTGCGTGCTGTAAACCAAAACGTTCAAAATAACAGACCGAACGAAACCTATTTCAGTAAATTAGACTCCAGCCTTAAAAAGAACACTGCCTTTGTTAAGAAAATTCGTAATTTTAGTGGAACGCAAATCGATGCATACCTAAAGGAGATGTCAGGTTTAAATTTATCAAAGTATATTTCGGAAATTGCTTCAGCTATAGTGGATACAAAATTAAAAATGACTGATGTTGGTGCAGCTGTAAAAATGTGCAGCATTTTACATCAAACATATGCAGATTTATCTCAGCACTTATTTGAGAATTGGCAAAAAAATTTATCGTTTAAAGTAGGTGAAAAGATTGGTAATCCTAGTAAACTCCGAGTTGATTTAAGATTTTATGCTGAACTGGTTAGTGCAGGCTTATTTAACCACAAAAATGCGTTTAGTTTATTAGGAAATGTATTAACCACTTTAATAAACATGGATAAAGAGGAACATTTAAATATATCAATCATTTTAAGTTTTTGTCGACATTGCGGTGATGATTACGCCGGTTTAGTACCTCGAAAAGTTAGAGAAGTATCAGAAAAAGAAAAAATTCAAATTCCAAAAAGCATGTTTTTACCACCAGAAAAGCAACAGAATGTCAGATCATTATTAAAAGATTATTATGTTTCTTTAACTAAACATTTAGTTAAAGATCACATTGAAATGCAAGAATTTGAAAAGCAAAACCACCGTATTATGCAAACTAAAGGCGAATTAAGTCAAGAAAGAAAAGATAAATTGGAAGCTTTACAAATTTCTTATGACAAATTATTAACTGCAACGCAAAGTTTTTCAGAAATTTTAGATGAAGATATGCCTACATTAAGAGCTAATGTTATAATTAAACAGGATGAGGTAAAAAAATTATTTTGAATTAGATTGTTTTTTTTTTTAGTTATTTAATTTATTAAACTAATTTAGACTATGGTAATAACCGGAACAGGGGCAGATTTTGAAGAAGGGATTAATAACACCAACATTGAAATGATTTGGGGCGATGTTGACACACAACGATTTTATTGTGAACTTCCTGAACTTCAAGCTTTCCTTCCAACTTCTTATATACAAAAGAATCAACCACAACCACCTCCAGAAACCGTTTCTGAAGAAGTTTTAGATAAAGAAATTCCAGCTGAAGAACTTGAAGATGATGGTAAATTTTTATAATTATACAATATGCATCATAAGTAATAACAATAACTTTTGACGCGTACTGTATATACCGGGTGTCCCAATAAGGCTGTATCTCAACAATGTAAGGTCTAGATGTTTAGGAAAACCTTTATTAGCAAAGTTGGTAAGAGAGATAGCTGGAAATTATTATGAAGTTCGTAATTCGACCGCTAGGGGGCGTAACTGCCATAAAGAACCATAACATTTCCGCTATCTCGGAAAGTTAAATCATGAGCTATAACTTTTTTTGTATTTATTATGCATAGTACAATTATATAACATCTAGTACATGTATACTAATTAGTTTTGATATTTTGGTACAAAAAATCTAACTTTTACAGCTTTTCTTAGTGATACAGTCTGCTTTACACTTTACTTTATTGAGCCAAGATATAAATACAGAAAAAACAACGAAATATCAATCAATTAAGAAATATACAGGGTCGCTGATATGTATGCAAACGGTCAGTTATCTCCTAAAGTAAAATAGCTAGCACAAAATGTTAAGATACAAAAGTTTTAGTGTTTTTTAAAATCTATTACAATAAAGACAAATTAAGTATATCTACAGTTTCAATCAAAAGGTTATGACGAAACAAAGTTACGTTTTATTTAATGGAACAACCTGTATATTATTCCATATTTCAGTTCATCTCGAAATTCTAAACAAAATTCATGTAGCACATCATAGACCTAAACTTAATCGTCTTCCAGATATACAGCTTTTAAAAAATTACGAATTTATCTAATTAGTGATGTAATTTATCGCTGGGTGCAAATTATTCAAACTAATTTTGTATTTTTGACATGTGTTATGTCACTGCGTTGCTATGGAGATGAAAAACTTACAAAAGTAACTTGATGAATTTTGAACATAAACGACTAAAATATTTTTGTGTAATTTATAAGAGTGATTTTCAAAGTTCAATATCTCGAAAACGGTTAAGTTTAGGTGCTACATGAATTTTGTTTAGAATTTCGAGATGAACTGAAATATGGAAAACGTAACTAGATATAGGAGATAATCGACCGTTTCCATACATATAAGCGACTCTGTATAATTCAAGCTCAATGGGTGTAAGAGCAGAAAAGGCAAAAGAGCCATTGCAGGACATTGTTGGAATGATCATGCATTCTCTTCTCATGTTTAGATGCAAATGATGCAATGACACCAATGCTACATCTAACTCGTGATGGAGCTCAGTGTTTCTTATGTACAAAGGTGCATTCAATATGCACCTTAGTACTTTGTTTTGGCATCTTTGAATCAGATTTGCATTTGTCTTGCAAGTACAACCCCATAGTTGAATTTCGTATGTCCATTTTGGTTTTAATACTTGATTGTATACAAGAGTTGTGGCATAATTTTAATTTAACTAGAATTAAAATGATGACGATTCGTGTAAAAATTTTTGGTCTAAACCCTTTAAATGCTTAAGAATATGGACCGAAGTTAAAAATTTTTTCAATATGTTTTATCTTAAAAAGATAAAATTTGGCAAACAATGCAATGTTATCATGAGAAATGGTTTAAGATCACTTTTGAAAGTATGCCACCACGGGATCAATGCTGTACAGGTGTCCACAAAGGTTATTTCCTTAACACTTTTATATTATGTCGTACATCCTTAAAACTTCCAACTGATTCTAAAAGCCTGTTTTATTTTAAAATTATTTTCTCTTAAACATTTTTATTTATTTTTTTTGTTTTAGAATTATTCACAAAAAGATACAACCTCAATTATGAAACGTTTTCATGTTTTTTTTGCTCCAGTTACAATTTGTTTTCATAGACACCTTCGATTAATGAAAATTTTTCATAATCGAGGTTGTATCTTTTTGCGAATAACTCGAAAACGATGCGTCTAGACAAAAAATTTTAAGAGTGTAAATAATTTTAAAATGAAATAGGCTTTTAGAATCATTTGTAAAATTTAAGGATTTATGACATAATAATAAAGTTTTAAGGAAATCACCTTTGTAAACACCTGTATAGCATCCTCTTGGGAGGAAAACCGTTTTGACAAATCACTTTTAGTTCTTGAGAAATAAATTAATTGAAATAGTAGACAATTTTTTCAAATTTTGCAATTTCCGCCGATTAAGTTTTAAAAATTCGTATAAAATCCATTTCTTGGAATATGAGTATGGAAATTTCCCAAAATGTTAATAAAAGTGTCCTCTTTCCAATGAACTAACACGTTTTGAAAAATAACTTTTAGATTTTGAGAAATCAATATTTGAAGTTTTGATAAAATTTTTGATGTTGCAATTTTCATCGATAATTTTCAATATTCGCTATAAAATTAATTTCTTGAAGGATCCTTGTGGATATATCACCAATTATTAATTAAAGTATCCCTCCTTTTTATGCAAAAAGCCGTTTTGAAAAATCACTTTCAGTTCTTGAGAAATAAATTGGAATGATCGACAATTTTTTCGAATTTTTCAATTTCCGCCGATTAAGTTTTAAAAATTCGTACAAAATCGATTTCATTTTAACTCTTGTATTTGTGATTCAAATTATGCCACGTCTTACAGGAACTCTGTATAAGCAACTTGTTTCTTAGAAGTATTTCTTAGTCTAAATTTAATATCAAGTTCTTCACTTTTTCCATATCCAGCGTCATTCCAAGATCTTTTGCGGTGTCAACGTAAGGAACTGCTTTGTCATTTATGTCATTGTCCCAGTACACGGACATAGTTTATTTTCTTATAAGTAATGTTTATGTATGTCGATTTATTTGTATTTGGTTTTATTATTCATTGTTTAGTCCAGTTTTCGATTCAATTTAACTTCTTAATTTTCTGCAACAGCCAAGATCAATGTCATCTGCGAATGTAGCTGCTAAAGTTTCTGGTATATGAGAAGGTCAAAGGTGTAGAGTAAGTACAGTGTTGGGCCATTTGTTTTCAAGGTGCAGTAGAATGTTCTAATAGTCTTTTCTTTTGAGATTATATCTCGTTGGTATGTACATTGTTGCTTTTTAGACATTTTGACTTCTTTTTTGAATCACCTTTGGTTTCAGTTGCTTTCAATAAGATCTGCATATAATGTTTTTATTATTTCTTCTTGTTGAAGTATTTTTTCTAGTATTAGATCTAATTTTGTGTTAGCCTTTTTATTGGTTAATATAGTTTCAGTTTTCTCTACAGTTTCACCATTCGCGTTTTCGGCATACGAGACTTCTGGTAGTCTCGCTAATTCACTTTTACTTGAATTTACTGTGATCTTCCTGATGGCTTGTAGTTAGTGCATTTGCTGGTCCAGTGTTCACCAATGTATTTAACACATCTCTGTGTCAGTATGTCTTGGTGTGGCTCCAACCTTGACACATTTGGACTTGGAAATTTTGACACGACTTCCTAATATGTATGTTATTTCAGGAATTCTTTTTACAACTTCTGAAGGTGCAAAATCCGAGATGTACTGCTTTTTTGTTTTGTATTTTTACACTTGGATTACTTTACAAATGTTATAATTGCGCTCTAATAGTTCATCTTTCATGTCATTAACATCACAGCTTTTATCTTTTTAGCTACCACTTCCAGATTTCTGGTTGTCAACATTTTTTCAAAGACAGTTTAGATAGTGAGATTTCAGTTTTACGTTTTTTGTCAGTCTCTAGAACTAACTCATCTTCGTCTGTGGTATAAACTATTTTGGCGGTTACTGGACGTTTAAGATTTTGTTGAGTTTTTTAAATCTTCTATGAGATACAGCCACTCTGCACTCTTAACGAAACACCCGATATAAATATATTAATATATTTTTAATCTTTAAACAGGAAAAGCAGAAGAAACCATAGAAGATGAAGTTGACGATACAACACAAATAACAGTAGGAAATAAAATAGTTTTAGAAGCCTTTTTAAATAATCTTTCAAATTGTGTAAATCGTGAAATGATTGATAACGCAGCAATAGATTTTTTAATAACATTAAATAACAAACATAACCGTAGAAAATTAGTTCGTTCGTTGTTTGGTGTAAATCGAACCCGTTTGGATTTACTTCCATTTTATGCTCGGTTTGCTGCAATTCTTTACCCAGCCTTACCAGAAGTTAGTAACGATTTATGCCAAATGCTTCGGCAAGATTTTAAATATCACGTCCGAAAGAAGGATCAAATTAATATCGAATCAAAAATAAAAGTTGTACGCTACATTGGAGAACTTGTCAAATTTAATTTGTACTCAAAAAACGAAGCTTTGTATTGTTTAAAAGTGTTATTACACGATTTTTCGCATCACCACATCGAAATGGCTTGTAATTTATTGGAAGTGTGTGGACGATATTTGTTTTGCCATCCAGATTCGCATCAACGAACAAAAGTCTATTTGGAGCAGATGATGAGAAAAAAATCTGTTATGACTTTTGATTCGAGATATGTTACTCAAATTGAAAACGCTTATTATTATGTTAATCCACCGGATGTAGTTGCTGTTACTAAAAAAGAACGTCCTGTTATGCACCAATTTATTCGGAAATTATTGTACCAAGATTTACAGAAAAACAATACTGACAAAATTATTAGGTTGATGAGAAAATTGGATTGGAATAATGAAGAAGTTGCCGCGTATGCTGTTAAATGCCTTACAGGAGCTCATAATATGAAATATTTTAATATTAGGTGAAGAAGAAATTATTTAAAAAAATTTAATAATATTATTTTTGTTTTTGTAAAGATGTTTAGCTAACTTATTAGCAGGGTTAGTGTCGTATCAAGAAGAAGTCGGAACGAGAGTTGTTGATGGTGTATTAGAAGATATTCGGTTGGGAATGGAAGTTAATCTTCCTAAATTTAATCAGCGAAGAGTTGCTCAAGTCAAATATCTTGGTGAACTTTATAATTATAGAATTGTGGAAAGTGCAGATATTTTTAAGGTATATATCTCCTATTCCTTGAGTCTAAAGATTAAGGACGCGTTTATACTTTTTTAGGTTCTTTATTCTTTTATAACATTTGGAGTCAGCATGGATCCAACAAATCCAAGCGTTTTAGATCCCCCAAATCATCTATTACGTATCCGCCTATGCTCCATTCTTTTAGATACATGCGGTACTAAACAAAAAAATTTAACATTTTTAATAAACACCTAATTCATTTTTAATTTTTAGGGATGTATTTTACAACCGGAGGAAGTAAACGTCGTTTAGATTATTTTTTAACTTACTTTCAAGGTTATTATTGGTTTAAACATTCTTTGTGGGGCGAATCTTTTCCGCCTCCCTTAGAGCATCTGTACAAAGACACGTTATTTAATTTAAGACCGAAATTAAAATTGTGTCAAAGCTATGAAGAAACACAAACGGAAGTCAATAATATTAGAACTCAATTAGGAATTGGTATAAATGTTTTTTCTGTTTAATATCTCCATTACACAAATTATTTCATGTTAGATCGTTTAATTGGTGGTAGTGATGTTAATAAGGACGATGATGGATTAGAAAGCATTGCTGAAACTGATAATGAAGATATTGGTGATGATGAGATGTCAGAAGGTGTCACTGGACCAATAACAGATGATGCCACAGAAGATGAAACTGCTGAACAGGGTTCAGATGATGAAGGTTAATTTCTTTTAAAAACCTGTTTATATTAAAATAATTGAGCAAATTCCTAGATGTGTTAAGTGAAGGAGAAGAAGAACCAGAAGGAGGGGTTGTTTCAGAAACAGAAGCAATTCCAAGTGGGCCAAAAAAAGTTGCATGTCCAGAAGATGATGAATTTTTAAATGCTTTAGATAAAATGGTTTCTGAAAACATTCAAGAAAGAATGCGCGAACCTGTAAAGGCTTCAAACGTAGATATATCAGTCCCAATGGTCGTTAAATCCAGTAAAAAAACTTATGATCAATTACAAGTATTCCTTTTTCACTTTCTTTTTAAATTGCAAAATTATAATTTTTTATATTTAGGATACTCCTGAAAAAGAAACAAATACAATGGGTTTTGTGCTTATGTTAAGAAAAGGAAATAAGCAACAATACAAAACGTTTCAAGCTGATGTCAATTCTGAACTTGCTCAAAATCTTCGCGATCAAGAATTGGCGCAAAGAGAAGAAAAACAACGCGTTAAGAGACTAACTTTGAATATAACCGAAAGATTCGAAGAGGAAGATTATCAGGAAATGATGCAAACTCAACAAAGACCGGTCACGCAAAATTTAAACAGGGAAAGAAAAAAATATCAACATCCCAAAGGTGCTCCAGACGCTGATTTAATTTTTGGTCCAAAAAGAGTTCGCTAACATTTCCTTTAATTTTTGTAATTATTATGTTAAAATAAATATTAATTAAAGTTAGTTTAAAAATAAAGACAATATTACAAAAATGTATCAAATTTCATTTAGTATCACATCACAAAACTGATTACAATGCACAACAGTGTGTTCCAAAGAAATAATAATTTGTCATGACAGCCACAATAATAATTAATCTTCCAACAAATTTAGACTTTGTAGGAAAAAGTGCCAATTGTTCGCGTCGACATTATGTATTTGAAGAAGTTGATTCAAAGATATTCCATCTCTAGCCAATCTTTGATGAGCTGTGTATAAAGCTGAAATATCAGAAAAGTATATATCAATATTTAAATAATTATTAATAATAATTATATATAAAACTTGTTTATTTAAAAGCTTAATTTCAAAATCAGATATATTACTTAAGTTTACTTCTTACTTATGGTTTTTATACCACATACGATTATTAGTGTATTCTGGCCAAACTATTCAATCAAATTTTTATTCCAAAATGGATAAAACGTAAAAAAGTAAAACTCTGTGGTACACCAGACATGACACTACCCTGTACATACAGCTCTTTATAAAAAAAGTTACTTGCTATGATCGGTTGCAAGGATGTTTCTGCATAAGTTCAATAAGTGCAGATTGCAATAATACAATATAGTGAAGAATTATAATCAGTAAAAATCAAGAAGAACAAGGATAGTGGCCAATCTGTTAGAACATTATCAGTGACATCCAAAAAAGATCCATTGACCAAGAAATGTATAATTCTCAATGTAAAAGTTTACTGTGTGACAAACTTAGGTCAATATGACCGGAAAACTTAATAGAAGTAGAACCCTGTCATTCCATTATTACCAACAACATTTGTTGTAATTCGATTCAGTGCCCGAAGCACCTTTCAGAAGCAAGCCAAAAAGAAAATTCTCTGCAATAAGTCAGAAATGATGGAAGTGACACCCCAAAGTCTGCCACAATCTCTTTTATCAAACAGAAATGTTACCTACGCTTTTCGTTCACGTCGGCTTGCTGAGTTGATGAAGTTTCTTAACTCTTTGTATGAAACAAACTGGACGAGATCTTTTGAAGATTGCTTTTCAATCATACTCTTCATTGTTAAAATATTTGAAGGCAGTACAACCTTGTACTATATAGATACCTCAATACATCACGTAAAACATCAGAGCTAGCAAAACGTCAGCAAAATCATGGACAGGAAGAACACCATAATCTTAAACAGGAGCATCAGTATCACCTTGAATAAAGTCTATTAACGTTGTCGAGGAAGTCGTTACACGTGTAGATGAGTTTATTATTTGTTTCAAACTTAAATTGTTCAATTACCAGAACCTTTTACCATAAGCACATAAATCGTCATTAATGTTAAAATTATCAAGTAATCTTTCAGATCTAGAAAGTAAGACAGAAAGTATGTCCTCTATATCAACCAAAAACTGTAAGATAGCACCATTAGGGCGGTATAATACTTTTACCACCACGAGCGCAATGTCAATGGAAGGACAATTAGAAAGGGTATAAACATATGAGTATCTAGACACACAAAGCAAAGATGGGCGCATTGATAAAGAAACAGAATTTGTAAAGCCAATAGAATACACCTCCAAAGTATCAAGACACTTATCAAGAAGACAAACCAGCATACAATTGAGCTGATGACAGTTTTGCAAACACTTCAAGAATGCAGAGTTGATTATTGATACATCAAACTTGTTTATAACATTTACAAAAATGCTACAATGACGGTGAAGTTGCATGAAAGTACTGGAATAAGACAAGGCGATACAATATCCCCCAAATTATTCATCATAATCCTGGTGACTGCATTTAAGCAGCTGATTTGACGGCAAATATATAAGTAATTTGCGCTGGAAGAGCAGGATTAGATATTAACATGGGGAAACCAAATTTATAAACAACTCTTGTTTCCAGTTTTAACATCAATATGAGTGATAATGAGATATATATCTTGACAAGCGAACTAAACAGAAACCTACAGGAAAGTTAGAGATATTTTCAAGAGCAATATTCTCAAACATTTGAAAACAAAGGCTTTCAAATAGTGCGTGCTGCCGGTTATAACATACGGCTCTAAAACTTTAACGGTGGCCGCTACCAAGAAGCTTAAAGTAACACAAAGAAAGGTGCCTGAGGAACCACATACGAAATGAAGACCTACGAAGGAGAATGGCGCAAATGATGTAGTCAACGTTGTGGTAAAACTAAAATGGAACTGGGCGGGTCATATCGCACGAATGAAGAATAGACGTCAAAAGAATGACCAACAATTGGATTCAGAAAGCATAGAACCGAAATGGCGCAGAATAGGGGAGATCTACAGTGTGTTAATTAATTATCGTACCCGACGTCATCAAATATGCAACCAATATCACAGTATTGGTATTGCAATACGTGATTTGCACGATAATTAATTAACACACTGTATGTCCAACAATGGATGCAGAGCTTGATGATGATAGGCTATGATTTTAACGTAAATTTATTAATTTTGTACTATAAATAGCAAACAAAACATTAAGATTTCATTTTCACTATCAAATTTGTATTAGCTATATTAAAAATGTAATTTTTGACATTTAATTATCTATCTTCAAGTTTAATTTCAAAACTTGAGGTTTAAAATAACACTTGTCAAGTCTAACTCTTTAAATTAACATTTTTGATTATCTCCATTTAATCCTTTATCAATAATTAAGATTTAATATCAAATTGGATATTTAACCATCTTTTTTGATGCTATAATTCCAAAACTTACCATAAGGAATTTAGTGAAGCTTGTATAACAACCCTTTATTTAAACTTACTTTGTCTATGTAAATCTAAAACTAACCTAAAATTAATTTTAAATAATATATGAATACATTTAAAGACATTTTTATTCTTAGTATAACTGTTATAAAAAGTACAGGTTAAGATAACGACAACTTATTACTACTTATACTTAAAAAAATTCTTAATATTAATCAGCATCTTCAAATACTTCCTCATTTTGGTCTCCATTATCATAAACTAAATCCACATCACGAATTCGATCATTTATTTCTTCCATTGCTAAACACATTTAAAATTATATTTTAAAAAAACACACAACTAAACCAACACCAAGCACAAATTAACCAAAAACACTTTCAACATTAACAATTTCTTAATATGAAATCTCTTACAACTTATATAAGTGTATAAAATCTTACCTGTATCACCACCTCCACCTATATCTCCCAAATCATTAGAAACCACGTCGTTTTCTCTAAAATCTTCATCAGCATCTTCATAAACTTCATCATCACTCGCAACATCATCAGGATCAGGATTTAAAGACTAAAAAATTTTTTTTTAATAAATCAAAAGGTTACTTGTTACTTTTAACCACACCTGACATTCTTTTAAAGCTTCATACATGGGTGTTAAAGCACTGGGATCACCAGGAACTAAAATTAACTCCGAAAAATCTGACTCTGATTCAGCATCACTATCGCTATCCTCCACCATATTCTCATTTTGAGTACCTAAAAATGTTTAAATTAATACAATTTTTTTAATAATACATTAAGAATTTACCGGGCATAACAACATGGGTATCAATCATAATGTAAATACACTCTCGTGGGTAAAGATTTGGATCAGATGAAGTGGCGTGCAAACTTATATGATGATAGGAAAGTGAAAAACCTGATTCGACGTCACCCTGTTCTTTCCAACTTACAGTTCTGTGGAAATAATAAAAATGTTAAGTCAGAAATTAATTTTAAATGTCGAAAGGTAAACAATAATAAAACATAACCTCTCACTGATGAATAGTGTCCCAAGACCAAGATCTTTTTTATCTAAAACGGCCCTAGTGTTCCGCTGCTCGAACCGAATCGGGGAGTCTGGGTGTAGAAAAGAAGATAACACTACCATTTTTTTATTTCTTATTTCAATAACTATCGATTTTACGATGGCAAACTATAAATTTGCTAGGAAAGACTGTCAAATTCACGTCTCGATTTTAAATTAGCGTCATACCAACTGTAAAATATTCCAACTAAAAATTATTTTTAATACAAAAATAAATAAATTTTTTTTATACTTATTTTATATAATAATATTAATATTTAATACTTTTATACTTAATAAACTTGTTATTTCAATTTTAAATTATTAATTTTCTAATCACCAATTTAGTACAAGAATGACATTTCAATTTAAATTAGTGTCATACCAATAGTTAAATATAGGGTGCGACAAAAGTTCAGAACTCCCCAAAAGCACGCACTTCCGGATACAGTAAAACCACGATATAGCGGACTAAATTAAAATAAAACTCTAGATCAAATCTTCTCCTAATATTTCTACGCAACGACATTCTCATGGGTTGTAGGCCCAGATAAGTTATTTTCATTTAGGATCTTGGTCATGTTGGACCACCAGGTAGAAGAGGACTACCTTTAAGTCAGAAAATATGTCTTCCAGATCAGCTAAAGGTCTGGAGGACATACAGTGACACAGAAAAGTATAGATACACCGCGGTATAACTCCGTTTTGAGTAATTTCTGCAAGTTAGAAGTAAAACATAAAGCTACAAACTATACAGGGTCATCCACGACGACCGTCCATTAGTACTTTACAGGGTTCTGGCCAAAATGCAAATTTGAAAATTCAGATTTAAGTATTATCAATTGCGTTCTCTTCGACTAAAATATTTTCAAATATCTAACACTTCCGGTTATACCGGAAGTTTATTTTTTTAATGAAACACCCTATATATTTTTACATATTTGGATTTGTTTGTTTTCAAGGTTTATGAATGACTTTACTTTTTGCAATTTGCTCCAGCAGACATTTGTTCACAAAAATCAGAGAACACTCGATTTTTGGGATATCAATTTAGGATTCAGAACATGCTTAAGCAACATGATGGAGTATGTTTTGATGCCGAGTATGGCTGTCTAGAACGTTTGGTCACTTTACTATGGCACCTTACCTTTTCGAAACTTGGAAGTACCATAACTTCATTTCTTTAAATGGCACCCCCATATTTTATTACTTAGTCGTCTTCGATGTCTCATTTTACATCTTTTATATCCCATATGTCCTATACCTAACATTTATAGTTTGGGAAATAATTAGGGTTTATTGAAAAATGCACACAAATATTGATATTTAACCTAGTGTGTCATGAATAACCGAATGAAGTGGAGGTTTGAAAATTTGCAGACTTGTGATGTTTGACGCCAGCTTTTTAACTAAAGTATTTTCAGGTTCCGGGTACTTGTGGTTACACCGGAAGAGGTGACAATTTTCATATTTTAAATGGAAGAGTTTTATGAGTTTTATAACATTTTTCAATCAAAAATGTCAACTACAACGTTACTTTTTATAATTTATAAATCATCTGCTTTGACCGCCGAAAAAAAAAAATTTGTGTTGGGAATGTTGTTGTGGTTATGTATTATCAGAGGATCAGTAAGGAAAGAGTAAACAGTTTGACATTTGCTAAAGCTATGATTTATTTCTGTTGGTGTGATGACTAGGTTACTTTTTGTAGTGATCTGTTCTCAAGAAATGCCACGTTTGGAATTTAGTAATAAGGATTATTTGAATTTGATAATAATTTATGGAGAGTGTAACCAAATAATTGCGCATACGTGTCGGCTGCAACATACAGGGTGTTACATTTGAAATATGAAAATTGTCATCTCTTTCGGTGTAACCGCAAGCACCCGGAATCTGAAAATATTTTAGTAAAAAGCTGGCATCAAACACAGAAGTCTGCAAATTTTCAAAAGGTCAGTTCATATGGTTATACACTAGGTCACACTAGGTATTCATGGCACACTAGGTTAAATATCGATATGATGTGTGCATTTTTCAAAAAACCCTAATTATCTCCCAAACTATAAATGTTAGGTATAGGACATATCGGATATAAAAGATGTAAAATGAGAAACCGAAGACGACTAAGTAATAAAATAAGGGGGGTGCCATTTAAAAAAATTAAGTTATGGTATTTCCAAATTTCGAAAAGTTAACGTGCCATAGTAAAGTGACCAAACGATCTAGACAGCCGTACTCGGCACCAAAACATACTCCATCATGTTGCTTACACATGTTCTGAAACCTAAATTGATATCCCAAAAATCGAGTGTTCTGTGATTTTTTTAACAAATGTCTGCTGCAGCAGATTTTTCTAGAAAAATTCGAATAACTCGAGAACGGCCGAATCAAAATGCAAAAAGTAAAGTTATTCATAAACCTTGAAAATAAACAAATCCAAATATGTAAAAATATATAGGGTGTTCCATTTAAAAAAATAAAGTAGGTGGCGACTTCCGGTATAACCGGAAGTGCTAGAAATCTGAAAATATTTTAGTCGAAGAGAACGCAATTAATAATACTTAAATCAGAAATTTCAAATTTTTGTATTTTCCAGAACCCTGTAAAGTTCTAATGGACGGTCGTCGTGGATGACCCTGTATAATGTTAGATGAAAGTACATACAATAAAAAAACTGCAGATTAAATTGAGTGTTTAACATTTGTTAAAAACAACGGGCAAAATACAGTATTTCTAACACAAATACGCTTAATTATATTTATAAGCAGGACCATAAAAACATAGTATTAATATTTGGTGGGGCCACCATCACTTTCAATTACAGCCTTGATTCTATTTTTCATAGAATATACCAACTTTTTTGTGGTTTCTGCTGAAATTGCATTCCATTCCTCAATTAATATGTTTTTGAGATCCTGTTTATTTCTTATGGGCCTTTTTCAAATTCGTCCCACAAATGCTCAATCGGGTTTAAATCAGGCGACTGAAGTGGGGAACATTATGTATAGGTGTGTTTAGGGTCGTTATCTTGTTGGAAATACCAACCCTGCCTCAACCCCATTTTTGTCGCCGATTGTTTTAATTTATTTTTTAATAGATTTAAATATAGGAAACGATCCATTGTGGACTCTATAAAAACAAAATTTCCCACCCCAGCCGTCGACATGGAACCCCAAACCATGACATTGCCGCCACCGTGTTTTACGGTAGGTATCAAATTTTTAGGTAATAACTCTTAATTTTTTTTTCGCCATATCTTTTGTTTACCATCGGACCCAAATAAATTAAATTTCCATCTTTTTTGACATCTTTATATTTGTTAGCAAAATCTATGCGTTTTTTCCTATTGTTTTCGCTGATTTCTTTCTGGGCACTCGGCTATGAAAATTATTTTTTCGTAGTATTAACGGAAACTATATTGTTGCATTCCAGTCTCTTCGCTACGTCCACGGCGCTGGTTTTAGGATTTTGTTTAATTTCTCCTAATATGAATCGTTTTATTCGTTTAGTTATTTTTGGAGGTCTACCGCTTCTTGCTTTACTTTCTAAACTATTATTGTTTTTAGTTTCTCAACACTGTTTGAACACTGCTTTTTGAGCGCCCAACCATTTCTCCGATTTTTCCAAGCGTTTTTCCATCATTTCGATGTTTAATAATTAATTGGCGCACCTCTAAACACATTTCTCTACTTTTAACACGCATATTTTTAAGGGAAGTGTTTGTTTTATAATAAAAACACAAATATAAAACATGTACAGATTTGACAAATCAAATTTTATAAACTCTCGCGACGTTTAACAGCTCTGTTTTCATGAATGCCAACTTACAAAATTTAAAATCTAGCCGTATGTATACTTTTCTGTGTTTAAAAAATTAATGTTGGTTATTATTGTTAATAAATGTTGTTCAACACGCAGTTAATTCTTCAATTTCAAGTATTATACTTAATACTAATTCATTTAATAAACGTTTCATTCTTCTAATTTCCATTAATTACTCAAAACGGTTTGTTACGGGGGTGTATGTATACTTTTCTGTGTCACTGTACGTTCTGACTTACAATTAGAGGTCTAGGTCACCTTAGTCTTAGGTCTTCTAGGTTTATAGATAATTTGTGGAGAATTAAATTCCCTTCCTGATAGGCTAAAAAAACATGGGGCGTTGCATTTAAAATTTTCGACTTTCTCGCCATTGAATATGGAGTAACAGTAATTCAATTTTTGACCACCTGTATAAGATACTCCGATACGACAAATAACAGTCTGTTTGACAGCATCTGAAGAGTAATCGTGCCAGTGTAGATCTTTTTTGCATGAACGTTGGCTGAGATATGGGGTTTTATCAAAGTCAACATATTTTTTTACGTAGAATTAAACGGTGTAATAAAAACTATAGCATTCCATTTAAAATAACGAAGTTATGGTCTACTTCCGGTAGACCAGAAGTGGCGGCCATCTTGAAAATATTTTAGATCGAAAGTTTCGAATGAATGCTAATAAAATTTCAAATCTCTATAAATAGTGGAACCTGAAAAGTTCTAACAAACCAGTTACATGAGACCCCTGTATTAATATCTGTCAATAGAAATTCTGAAAAAAAAATAAGAAAAGGTAATTAATTATATAAATTTAAATTCTTTTTCTTCCTTTAGTGCTACAAATTTCAGGATTCCGCGCTGTAGATTAAAACTGGTCTGACCAAGGTCTTATACATACTCAGTTATATAAATTTAAATTAAAGGAGTTAATTTAATAAAACTACATATTGACTCGAGGTAAATTTCTTTAAAAAGGTCCATAATAACCTTAAAATAAACATGTAAAAAGTTAAATTGATTCAATATTAAGTCTAATTTTATTGATAACACTAAAAAAAAAAGAAAACAAAATAACCAACAATGTATGTAATCAGCAAATGCACTTAGTTGGTGTTAGATTGTAATTCTCATTTAGTTACAATAAAATTTACAATCTATTTTTATGTCTCGGATAAATAATTAAACAAAAGAGCTCTGGACTAAATTATTATAACGAGAAGTTCTCATTTCATTTATCGGATTATTGGTGGCATTAAAGGCATCCCACCACCACCACCACCAGACATCGCCGTATTTGGTCCTAACAAAATCTAAAAAATACAAATGTAATTAAAAATTTTTGAATAAACTTTAATTACATACCTGTTTTTGTTGATTGCGCTGCATTTCTTCTAATTGCGCACGTTCTACTTCAAATATAACTGGTGCAAACAAAATAATGGAACTACTAAATACAATCCAAAACAATGATCGGGAAAACCCATACAAATGCTTGATTCCCGAAGTAGTATTTTCCGCTATATTTGCGGTGGTGTTTCGTACAGTTTCTGGAAACATTTCGGTCAACCCCCACAATCTTTCACCCAACGTTTCGGCAGGCTTAAAATGAAAAAAATTGAGGTTATGTCACATTCTAACCTTAAAATGTCGCGTTTTATTTTGTACCAAGTACAAAATTATGCTTTTAATGAATTTAATAATGTATTTCTTTTAAAACTCACTTCATCGTCTACATCACCTTCAATTTCTAATGATTTTTTTTCTGGGGTTTCATCTTTTGCGCTGCCTTCTTGCGACTCCATCCCGCTGTCTTCACCAAAATCTTCACCTAATGCCATAAGATTGAGATTATTTTTGACCGTTCGATATTATATTCAAGTTTAGTGGGGAAACGTGACGATAACGCGAGCTCAATTTATGTTTATTTTCGGTGAAAAAATGCCACGGTGAGAACGAAATTATTCCTTCTCGGCTAAAAGGCCGTATTTAATGCGCACGCGCGGTTTAATGGATACCAAATCGTCGGCGGGAAATTTGAACTTTGCACCGAATCGATTTACTAATTTCATGTTACTAAATGCAGATAGTATACTTACTTTTTTACTTTAATTTACGCGAATATCTTTCAGGGTAGCCGAATGCGATAATTTTTAATCATTGAATTTAATGTCGTTTTTTTGTTACATTGACATTGACATTCGTTCTTCTTTGTTTTTCACGTGTTAATTTGGAATTTTAAAATGTTTATGCTTCATAAATAATTATTAATCAAATGTAATTGAAGACGTGTTTTTGAAAACTTGTTTTGTTTTTAAAGGTTGATTAATCTTATCTGAATGTAAATATCCATATTCTGATTGAAAATAGAAAACCACTTAACTTTTAATATTTAACAATAGATGGAGCCACAATAATTTTTCAAAATAAACATGTTTTATGAAATATATTAAAATTAGAAAAATGTTCTAATACGACAAGAACATACTTCTTTCTAGCTTATCCCTATGATTTTACTACGTTGAGATCTCGAATTCATCTTCTGAATGTTTCCTCCCCCCAGCAAGACTTTTGAGCTGCTGCATAAGGCCTGTTTTGGAATTATTGAGAAAGAAGAATAAAACAAATCTATTGACATTAACAAATCTTTTTTTATTAAAAAAAAATAATACTCACATATACATATTTACAAAGCAAAACATATAAAAAAAATTGAAAAAAAAAAAACAATTTCTTGGTATATGTACAAGAAGAAAATGTACAAGGAAAGAAAATGATAAATGAATGGATGCTTTTTAACAATGAAATTTTTGTAAAGATTGTTTTTTTAAGATGCAAAAATGGCAAGAGAAAAAAAAGAATTAATTCAAAATTAAGTATTGTTCGTAACTAGACGTTCTTCCTGCGTTAACGTTTTTGAAGTATTCATAGAATTGGAGTTGTTGGAGGTCTTCGAGACGCAGTTATTATGATGATTCGTTTCACGAGGACTGAAATCTTGCGATAAACTGGAATAGTCAATATCACTAACTGGGGCGTAAACTTTCGGGTCGAATTCGGGATTTAAAGGTCCTTCGACTCTTTCACTGGGAAACATGGTACTCTTCGTGAACACTTGAATCGGCCGTTGAAAACCGCGCGAATGATGCTGAGGAAATCCTAGAATCTCGCTTTTGGCGAATCCAATTTCCGGCGATAGAAGATATTGTGTGAATTTTTCGGGGAAAAATTCTATCGAGTTGTAATTTTTATAGATTTCTTCCTGAAAAAAGAAAAACGAAAAAAAAATTTCTTTTTAAAGTGTGTTCTTTTTGAAGATAAATTAGAATCGAAACAAATCATTCTAAAAAAAGATGTATAAATAACTTAAAATTATTTGTTTTAACCTTCTAATACACGTGATTACACAGTCACAAGTTATTAAACTTCAAATTTATTAGATATTTTTTGTATTAAATCTATATAAGTCTGCAGTATAGACTCAGATATTTGCGGAATAACTAAAACTAGAACTAACTCCAGCACTAGAACTAACACTAAACCTAAAACTAGACTGCTTCTGTTATTTCTAGATGTAATGTTTGATCTAGAGAAGTAAGTGTAGAATCGGAATGGCAGAGCATTAAAAAGTGGTTAAAACTTGGTTTTGCTAAGAAGTTAAGAAATCAAACGAAAAAGCGATCTTTCTTATAAAAAAGCACACTCACACCTGATTCCTTAGCCACAGACACGCAAATAAGAAATGAGAAGACCTAAAGAAGGATTTGGAAGATGCTCCGAAATCGTAAAAAAAGCACTTGACGAGTTTATCCAAACCACTGTCTTGGTTTGGATCAAAAGAAGAATGGCAGAAATATTTTTAAACAACTATACTCCTCGAAAAGACTTATACACCTTGATGAACCAGTAAATACCAACTCAAGAAACTCAAAAATAAAAAATCCCCTGGAACAGATAAAATACCCAACAAATTGCTAAAGGATGGTGGGAAAGCCTTATCAGAAAAATTAACCCATCTATTCAACAGAGTGCACCAAGACTCTGAAGTACTAAATGAATGGCACAAAAGCATAACAACTCCTATATTCAAAAAAGGAGCAAAACCTTGAAAACTATTGTGGCATAACATTGTTTAACATTTCTATGAAGCTATTTACAAACATACTAAAAAAAAGCTGGAAAATATCATAACAAATGCCGAAGAACAATAAGGCTTTAGAAAAGGCAATTGAGTTCAACAAACACGTATACATATGCTTTGTGGACTTGACTAAAGCTTTCGATTTGGGTGATATATTAAATCTGTTAAAACGAAGAGACACCAGCTGACATTATAAACATTTTTTTATAATTATATTATGCATAGCACAATTGTATAACACCTAGTAAATATGATGATCATGCATTCTCTTCTCATGTTTAGATGCGAATGAAGTAATTTCTGATAACACCGATGCTACTTTAAAGTCGCGATGGAGGTCGCTGTTTCTTATATACCAGGGTGCATTCACTATGCACCTTAGTACTTTGTTCTGGAATCTTTGAATCAGATTTGTCTTGCAGGTACAACGCCACAGTTAGATTCCTTATGTCCATTTTGGTTTTAATGTTTGCTTGTATATTAGTAACTTGTTACTTAGTGATAGCGTTGATTTTCTGCCAATATAGGTGTCTAAATTTGATATCAAGTTCCTCACGTTTTCTTTTGACGTGAGCTTTCCATTTGAGTTTGGCATCCAGCGTCATACCAAGATATTTTGCGGTGTCGGCGTAAGGGGCTGCATTGCCATTTATGTGTACTGGGACATAGTTTACTTTTTTATAAGTAAAGTTTATGTATGTCGATTTATTTGTATTTATTAACTTTATTAGCCATCGTTTGGTACAGTTTTCTATTGAATTTAAGGCCAATTGTAACTTATTTGTTGAAACCACTTCATTTTCTGCAACAGCCAAGACCGCTGTGTCATCTGCGAATGTAGCTGTTAAAGTTTCTGGTACCTGAGGAAGACATCTGACCAGACTTTGTCGAAAGCTTGTGCAACATCCAAAAATACGGCTGAGCATTATTTTATTCTATGCACTTGGTCTATTGTTGCATGCTTATTCTGAAACCCAAATTGATGTGTTGGTATTAGGGCTTTTTCTTTTATGACAGGTTTTAGTCTTTTTAATAGTAATTTTTCAAGCAGTTTTGATAGTAAGGGTAATAATGAGATTGGCCTATATGATGTAACATCTGTTGGGGGTGTACCAGGTTTTGGTATCATTATTATTTCAGCAACTTTCAGAATATTGGGAAGTATTTCTGTTTAAAAGCAGCATTAATTATGTGTTATAGTTTTGTAATCATCCATTTTGGTAGATGTTTCAATGTTACAGCCTACTGATTTCTTTATATTTAGTTTTTGTATTTCATAATACAGTTCTTTCTTTCTTACACATGGTATATTATTACACATGGCTGAATTCCACAGCATTATTTTTAGATGCTGCTTTTTAGATATTTTGATTTCTTTTTTGAAACGCTTCTTGGTTTAAATTGCTTTCAATGAAATCTAGATGTGCATATAATGTTTGTATTGTTTTTTCTTGTTGAAGTTATTTTTTCTAGTATTAGATCTAATTTACTGTCAGCCTTCTTATCGATTGATGTACTTACAGTTTTCTCTGCAGTTTCACCACTCGCTTTTTCGGCATACGAGACGCCTGGCTTTATTTTATTAGAATTTACTGTTTTCTTATTCTTGATGGCTTGTAGTTCCTTAATCATAATGCATCCTCGCTAGTTCGCTGGATGATTTTCTCCACAGTTGAAACCTTTAGCCATTTAGCTGGTCCAGTGTTCACCAGCATATTTAACACATCTCGGATTTTTGTGGCAGTAGGCTTTGGTGTGGCTCCAACCTTGACACCTTTTGCACTGGGGCATTTGTTTTGGCATTCTGTACTCTTCGATTTTGACATGCATTCCTAATATGTTTATTATTTCATGGATTCTTTTTACATCCTCTGACGGTGCAAAATCCAAGATGTATAAAGGAAGAGACTCTTTTGTTTTGTATTTTAACATTTGGATTACTTTACAAATGTTTGTTCGATTTCTTTTTTAAGTTCGGCGGAATGTGTTCTTTCTTTTTTTAGGGAATTTAACAGGGAGAATTCCATATCCGTTTTTGGAGTAAACTTTTCCATGTTATTGAAATCGAACTGATTCAATCTGCTAATGGATAATATTATAGAAGAAGTGAGAACTATGCATCTTGATTATACAATGGGACAAGAAAAGATTTGTGGGATCTGCTATGCCGACGATGCTACGATAATAGCTAGTTAGTTCTTACTCAGAACATGACCTAGGAAAACAACTTTACAAGTTCTACCAAATGAGCAAAGAACTAAACATATTGGTCTTTGCTAATAAAACCAAATTCATGGTGATAGGGAAGGAGCCAATAAGGTACAAATTGGCAGTTGAAAACACTCCCATCGAGAAGATCATGATGATCATAACAATAATGGATAGAAAAATCAAGAATGATGACATCAGGGTAAAGTGCGAGATACAGGATATCGTCAGATCGGGCAGACAAGGGAAAACAGCGTAGCATGATCACGTAAACGGAATACTAAATAACAGATTACCCCAGACTGTCTTGATATACAACTCCCCAAGCACCAGATCGCAAAAATTGTCAAAAAGCTGGTGGGAGAGTTGGCAATCAACATCTTAGGTCCTAGGACATAAAACGGAGGCAAAACCATACAAACTAAGCAGACTATATGGTCTAACATCAACAAGAAGAAGAAAGTGTTTGAGGAGCTTTTTTAAAAAAACGCAACATGTTCATATTTTAAAAAATTAGCTTATAGATGGTATTGCGAGCTATGTCAGCAGTAGAATATTATACATCGTCAATTCTGGGTTCTGGTCAAAGCGATACAACTTCCGTTATATTGTCTTATATTGTATGTTAGTTTCAAAACGTAACATTACTGAATCAAACTGCAACTTGTCCATATAATATGAGTTATGGCTGAAGTTACAGCAGAGTCCATGCTCTTGTTGACAATTTGTGTTATTTTCGATCAAACCCGTGATAAGACGACGAATTGGTTCATAAAGAACATCGATCTCTGTTACAATAATGGATGGAATATTAATGAAAGAATTGTCTGATAGCGGTAGTAGAAAACGGCAACGTATTAAAGGAAAAGCGAGGTAAATCTTACTAAAAGACCTACACTTAGAAAGGTGGATTGACAAAATGCATTTTCTACTTGGAATATACGTCATTTTAAAATAATGTTTTTTTTGGTGTATTTTCAGCAATAAAGCATATTTTACCCAACATTTTGCAAATATTAACATTATTAGTCAACAATATTGAATGTTTCTATTCATGGAAATAATGTCATTTGAAATAGCTAACCAACAAAAGATGGCATTAGTAGGAAATTAGAAATTTAAATTGTACGCGTGTATTAAAAGGTTAAATTTGTTCTTTTTAGAATAATTAAAAAAAAATGAAATACATACAGTTAACTTTTTCTTTCCCTTATAACTTGACCAATTTTGCGGTTCTAAAATAAGTTTCCCTCCGGGTCTAAGTTGTGCGTACATCCGCCTAAAACTTTGTTTAATTCCTGCATCGCCCCAATTTAAGTGGAACCATTTGGTCACGCTCAAACACAAGATCACATCGAACTGCGGCTGCTCCATCGTTAACAAAGTTTCATCGTCCAAAATGTAATTTCCCTAAAACGAAAAAAAAAAATGTATTAATTTAAAAATTTACAAAGAATAAATTGTTTCGAACTTACTTGTACGAAACTGACATTGTAGGGAAAACCATGTTCCTTGCGTTTGTTCTCACTGAGTCCTGGAATATCAATAGGCCCATATAGTATAGGCATCGATATGGGATATAACTCACTACTTTTCCCAATATCATCATGATCATTATGATCGATTTTTGCTGAATTAACAAAAAATGTCGGACCGGCTGTCAAATCGACGAATGAGGGATCGTCGTTATTTCGAGGCGATTCGGCGCTACTAACGTAATATTTTACGTTCTTACGCGCTATGCCTATCAAGGACTTATCGATATCCAGGCCGACGATACTTTTCGCTCCGAAATCCCTGGCTACTGACAGCGTGATGTGACCGATGTTACAACCTATGTCTAAAATGTCTTTGCCTTCGAACAAATCGTGATGGTACGAGAAGCACCTCAGTCTTGGATCTAACTCGTTATTTGGATTTCTATAACCATAATATCTATAACAAAATAAAAATATATTAAGCGTTTTTAATCCTTTCTAGAGAATTTGTCTTAAAATTTTATAAGAATTTAATTAAAGTATGATTGTATTAAATGTCCACCGTCAACGTTTTTTTAGAAAAGAGATTTTAATTTAGAAAGCTTCGTCTCTACTTATAGAGTAAGAAGAGCTCATTCAATTTGACTTTTATACATAATAGAAAAAGCCAGTAGAAAAATATTTTAATAAAAAGCAACCCGAGATTTTCCGTACAAAAATATTTCCTCTTTCAAACGTCGCATTTCCGGGAATGGACAATATTCCCGGAATGAAACGAGAACTTATTCCGAGAAAAACAGAATCATGTTTTTGTTATAATCGTAATAACGAAACTTTTAACTTAAATAAATCATTTTTGGAATGACTTTATAATAATTGCTTCAATTGAAATTAATTAAAAGTATAATAATAAGAAAAAAGAAAATCTTATGATGTAAACGTGACCTGCTTTTATCGAAATTGTTTAGTAGAATCACTTGAAGCGTATCCAATTAGATAATGTACTCTTAGCAATCTTTTAAAAGTAACAAAAAATTATTTGTTAATAAATATTTTTAAAATTAATGATTATTTAACTGTTATTAAGTAATTAAAAATTGTTTAACAATAGAAACAATGTAATAAAACATAAAGGATAACAGCATAAAGGTGGAAAACGAAGTAAAATAGAGAATAATATGGATATCAAAATAAGGCCAAGCAGCGTATTCGAGAATATTACAGAAAATCTGGTTGGTGTACTTCAGACTCGTTTTGAACAACTCTTAGAAGAATAATTAAGGAGAGTGGATGTACTTGACAAGGAAAATTTAAAATTATGAAGAGATATCGATCGACTAGAATAATATTCCAACTTGCGCTTATTTGGTTTGCCAAAGGTAAAGTTTTGAAGATCTATTCGACTTGATTTACTGATTGATTCTTTGATTCCTTTGAAAACTTCAGAAAGTCATAAATGCCTTTAAAAATATTTAAAAACCCTCTGACTTTTGAAATTTTTAAAAATCATCTGGAAATCCGTAGAGGTTTTTAGATATTCCTAAATATTGTTGGACACGATTAGAACACCTTGACGGTTTGTGAAAATTTTAGGAATACCAGATTCTTGCACTTTACGAACTTACACCAATAATGGAAGTCGAGGAAGTTCTCCTAACGTTGTGATACTGAAAGTTACAGAAATTACAGTACGAGCTTTTTTATTAATAGTTAAAAGTTCCAATGGATGCTAAGAAGACAAATGGTAAATCAATTAAAGTGCAGAAAAAAATTTTGAAGTCCTAGAAGTAAATGTCTCCAATAGTGATTTTGCGAAAAGCTGGATATCCGGTTATCCAGCATATCTATCCGGCCATTATGGTTATAATTTCTGGTGCATTTCTGAACTGATACCCTATATTGCCACATTATTGCGATATTTGAATAAAAATGAAATTAATAAGAAAGCTGATAAGATATGTCAACTTATTTGGATCCAAGATACAAAATGAACTTTTTGGAACGCGTGTGAAGTTGGACATAGATTTTAAACTGAAAAAAATGCGTGATCGGGGTATTCAATCGATCTAATTTCAACGGCATCGTATTCATGGTCGCCTCTTGTTTCAGATTCGAAAAGAAAATTTTCCTAACGATTTCTTATTTTCAGGGAAAATCGATTTTCTTCAAACTTTCGCAAAATTCGGCTCGTTCGGGGTTTTTAATCGATCTAATTTCAACGGCATCGTATTCCTGGTGTCCTCTTGCTTCAGATTCGAAAAGAAAATTTTAGTAACCATTTCTTATTTTCCGGGAAAATCGATTTTCTTCAAACTTTCGCAAAATTCTGAAAACATCTGAAGCAAAAGGCCACCAAGAATACGATGCCGTTGAAATTAGATCGATTAGAAACCCCGAACAGGCCGAAATTTGCAATTGTTTGAAGAAAAACAATTTTCCAGGAATATAAGAAATGGTTAGGAAAATTTTCTTTTTGAATCTGAAGTAAAAGGGCACCAGGAATACGATACCGTTGAAATTAGATCGATTAGACACCCCGAACAGGCCGAAATTTGCGATTGTTTGAAGAAAAGCGATTTTCCTGGAATATAAGGAATGGTTAGGAAAATTTTCTTTTTGAATTTGAAGTAAAAGGGCACTAGGAATACGATGCCGTTGAAATTAGATCGATTAGAAACCCCGAATAAGCCAAAATTTGCAATTGTTCGAAGAAAAGCGATTTTCCAGGAATATAAGAAATGGTTAGGAAAATTTTCTTTTTGAATCTGAAGTAAAAGGACACCAGGAATATGATGTCGTTGTAATTAGATCAATTAGAAACCCCGAACAAGCCAAAATTTGCGAATGTTTGAAGAATATCGGTTTTTCTGGAAAATAGAAAATGATTAGGAACATTTTCTGTTCCAATTTAAAGCAAGAGGCGACCAGGAATACAATGCCGTTGAAATGAGATCGACTAGAAACCCCGAACCGAATCGGCCGAAATTTGCGAATGTTTGAAGAAAATCGATTTTCTCGGAATATAAGGAATGGTTAGAAAATGTTCTTTTCGAATTTGCAGCAAGAAGCGACCAGGAATGTAATGCCGTTGAAATGGGATCGATTAGAAACCCCGAACAGCCCGACATTTGCTTATG